TAGTATTATTATTATTGTTATTATTATTATTATTATTGTTGTTATTGTTATTGTTATTGTTGTTGTATTATTGTTATTTATAATTTGTACAAATAACCTCCTTGTGGTTCGACCCCGGTCTTGCTGGGTTATTTATTACTTCGACACTCCTGCACTTGGGAGAATACATCAATCTTTTAGTTGTGTCATAAATCCTCCCCTATTACACTGAGAAAATCTACCAATCGATCCTCCCGTATTGGAACCCCTTCCTTTAAATAATTATCCCTGGTGAAGCCTACCTCTTCTTTTTTTAGAAAGAGGTGGCTTACTTGTAAAATTCCCTAAATCTATTTGGCCCGTCTCCTAAAAAAAGCTCCTCCTCTCTTATCACATTGACCCTCAATATATTCTTTATTTATACATTTCTCTTACATGTTTGCTTTATTTATATTTTACCCCACTAAACACTTTCTCTCTAGTAATTTAATCGATACCATTTTTTCTCATTCAATTTCATCCCTTTTGTTTTAACTAGAGTTTTTTTTTTGGACTTATATCATTTGTTTCCGGGTTAATTTCATTTTCGTGATTCTATCATACACATTTTTATTTTGACTTTCATTAAATTATATAAAAAATTTTATTTCAACCTCTTCGATTTGTCATCTTCTTAACGAAATAAATATTTATTCCACTCATTTAGTATAATATTGTTCTTACTACCTGCTTAAATTCTATCTAGGGGTTTATAATTTTTATCTGTAAAACAATGATGCTCTAGTGGGGTAGGTGTGTTTTAAAGAAGAAGAAGAAAAAAACTATAACTTGGGTTATAGGCTTGACTATGTCAAATATGTTGGTTTTATTTTAATTAGATAAAAAAAAAAAAATAGCGACAATAAATAGACTAAATAAAAAAATTATCTACAATAACCTGATAAAAAAATATTTTTTAAAAAGGAAAAAACAATGAAACTCAATTTTTAGTAGATTAAATACGGAACGACAAAATAGGGTAAAAAGAACAAAAAAAACCTAGTCTAATTTAACTCGAGCTGACATGACAAACATATAACTTAGATTATAAAGGTCAAGGCAACTCAGCAGCCCAAGTCATGAGATGACAAGCCAATATTTTTTTAAAAATCAACGTCGAATAATGAAATAAAAAAGAAAAAAAAAGAAAAAAAAAAGATGTTAATCAGTGCTAGGTTCTTAAACTAGAAGCACCCTATATGGAAAAACAATGGGACACAATTCCTAACCAATTATATATTGAAGGAGAAAATTAGAAAAAAAATCCAATCACATAAAAGGATTAAAAAAATAGCAATTAATGATTGATGATCAAAATTGAAACAAAAATAGATTAAAGGACAACTAAGATTTTTTGATATTGGGATTAATAAAATCAAAGGAATGAAGACTAAACTAAAAAAATAACAAATGAAAAATCGAGATTAATTAAATAAAAATAAAAACTTCACAAAAGGGTCAAGTAAAAAAATTAAAAACCAAAAGAATAAGAAAAAGAATATGAAAACAAAACAAATTAAGGGGCAACTTTTAAATTTTAGAGGGTTAGATGTCAAAATAGAGGTCCATTCAAGACACGCCAATCAGGGGTAGATGGGTTGCCGAGACATATCAAACAACTATATGAAAGCCATCGTTTGGCCGCATACCACCCAAACATGCAACCATCCTTTACGTGTTGACGCGTGCAACGCAAGCTTCAACCACTTTTTTTTTATATATATAATATTTATTATATAAATAAAGTACACATTTGCTCCTCAACCCAATCAACAATGACAAAAAAATCCAAGGTGATATGATAAATATCTCTGGATGAAAGGCTTTTTTTTTTTCCTGAAATGGCATAACAATAATGAAACTGCACATTAAAAATTAAAAACTTAAACCTCGTATCCCTAGCATAAACGTTTCTGGTCCTAGACTAATTTTGTACTTTAATTGTTAAAAATAAAATAAAATAAAATAATCCTATTATCTTTATTGATTAATACTTAAAAGTGCATTTTTTATCAAGGTTTTATATCATTATTTTGCATTTGAAGTATTAATAACTCCTTAACTAAAGCATGTTTTATAATAACATATCTAATAATATAAGATACCTTTAATTTATGGTAAATGTT